CCAGAAAAGCAGATGTAATGTTATAGCCATACCTGATGTAGTGTTGAGTGTTCATCTTCAGAATCACTGCTCTGTTGCTTTGATATTTCTTAGCATGAACGGGAGGGAAAAAAAATTGTATTACTTCTATAATATTGAGCCTCTCTTGTTCTTATTTTTTTAAATTTCTTTAATTTTACCTACTATTTATGTCCTCTCACTAGTGGCTGTAATAAGTGTTTTTTTTTTTCTGACTCACTCACTGCAGCAAGTCACACTATTATGAAACACAAACCAAAGTACTCCAGCACACATTTTATCACTGTTGAACAGCACAGAATACCTGCTTTGTGTGCTTTACATCTGAGGCACCTGTGTATATCTTCTAGTACAGTGTGTGCTAATTTTACAGCAGAGTGCAACACTTGGTTGGCTCAACCAGCTTTCAAAATTGTCTCTTCCCGCATTAGGTTATTCCCAAGTGAGTCTATTCCTTTGAACTTCTTTGCATTAAATTACACAAATTTTATCTTTAATTGTGGCCAAGATTTGTCAGACATCCTTCCCAGTGGTCACCCTAGTTGGTGTCGTGTGAGAGTTAACTAAAGGTATCTCCTCTTGTACTATTTACTTAAACAAAATATGAACTAATAATGTGCACAGAACAAATCCTGAAAAAAAATCCCCATGTTTCCCGCAAGTTTGGATAATTATTCTAAGCACAGTTCTCCAACCAGTGGGCCACAAAACTACTTATATAAAATTCGTTAAACATATTATATAACTAGAAAGCTCTGGCTTATGGTTGCAACCTTAATAATGGCTTATATTAATTGTTAAGGTTAGAATATTTACACCAAAACTTTTAGGTTTGCCTCAATTCTGGAAAGCTTCTGAACAAAGTATACTAGCAAAATACCACTTTGACTACCAAAACCAGTCTATTACATTCACTGAATTTAAAGTAAGCAGAACTAAAAAAACCACTGCTTTCAGTGGGCTAAATGCTGTCAAATTTTGTAACTATGGATTTTTTTTTCCTGAGGTTATGTGAGAAAAGCTGGGATTATGTACACAATGATTCATTATCTGTTTTTCAAAGACATTTTGCCATAAGCATAGTGATATCTAACCTTCCTTTCACATTCAGTCTATTGAACTTTTCAGCTGGATAAATAATGCCTTTTTGTTTACAAGAGATTAATTTTTTAAAAATCAATTTTAATAAAACCACATTTTGTAACTAAAGTATTTGTCTAACAAGCAAAAGACTTAATTGTACCAATCCGTTCTTGCACTGGTGAAGTTAAACGATAACCTTTCGACAAAGCTGGAGGTGTTATCTGAAAAACAAATAAAAAAAAATGTACTATTGAGTTTTTTGCATGTTAAAAGTAACATAAAAACATTACTTGACCTAGAATAGCAAGAGGAGGGGAACTGACATGTGCAGTTATGATCTTCAGGGGCTCAGCCAAATTCACACAAAATGGAAATCTTCTAGTCTAAGACTTCAGTAACAAATTTTAGAAGTTACTAGTTTATTCTTGAAAAGCTATTAATAATTTTTTCCAATGTACAAATTATGTATCATGCATTAATCCCTTTTCTAAATGTAAGAATCTATACATAGATATGTATGTATATACATATATACATACACACACAGCCCTTGCCCCCACCCCAGATAATCCACACATCTCTGGCAGCTCCTGCAGAAAACAGAAACTGTAGCAGAAGCTCACCCCCAAATCAAAATAGTTTTGTTTCTCTACAGAACTCACATTTAGACTTTTTTTTAAAACTCATTGACCCAAGATCAACATGCACATCAGTGTTCGAAGAATAAAATATAAAAGTAGAAACAAATTTGCAAATAATTTGCTCACTTGCAAATAAGTGCTGTCAAAAATCTGAGATACTATATTTACACAGAAAACAAGCAGGAAAAAAAATGGTAGAACCACAGAGAAATTTTGTTAGATTTCATTGTACTACCCATTTAGAGAGTTCTCAGTTTATTCTAACTAGCTAATAACTAATAACAGAATAAGAGAGATATCTTACCGTTATCCATTTGGGAATTCCTCTAGCATCATCCTGYACTATGATATCCACTCGTACYTTTTCATTCTTTTGGATTTTTCCATCMTCTACATTCAGATTCTTAGAGGAAAATTAAATTATTAAAACACATAGTAATTATTGGCACAGACAAACCTAAACTTATTACTGAAATTTACTGCAAACTAGTGTTACTCAGATGAGAATATGCAACCAGCATAACCTTATTTTGAATGTACACATTTTATGTAAAGAAGTACAAATCCCAAAGGAACTACATGTGAGAATATATAAAAAGGAATAATGAACTAGTTTATTCAGGGAACAGCACACATGGCCTTGAAGATCCATTGATAAAGACAAACAAACCACCCAAATAAATAAAGGAGGAAAAAAGGGAAAATGTTACAAAGCTCTGCTAATCAGAGCTGCAAATCTTCCTATACCAATTAAGGTCTGCCCTGCAATGCCCCTTTAGGTAAAATCTAGTAGAATTTTGTAGGAAATGGTAATTCATTAATTAAATTCTCATCTCTTGAAGCAGATTGCATTAGCTGTTGCCAGAGAAAGGACACTAGCACTGTGCTAAACCAGTAAGGAAAGTAAATCACATTATTGGTAACGACATTTGAGCAAGCAGAACACAGGATTAAAATTGCTGCACACAAAAAGGGTGTGTTAGATTTTTCTTCAACAATGCAAATACTCTGGGAAGTCCTGACAACCATAGTCTAGTTTGGGAAGCAACAGCAGAAGATTCCAGTCTGCTTTTGTTATAGCAGCCATTGTTTCACATTTACCTTTTGTTTTAAATGACGTTACCTATTTATGCTAGACTCAGAATGACCATCTTTTTTACAAATGTTTTCATTTAAAAATACATCTGGTTGGCTTTTTTGCTTACCAACAGAAGCCTTTCTAAGGGTTGTCTGTTGGTGCTGTACATCGTATGATTTTCTCTGGCCTACTTGTATTACCAAGACAAAAATATCACTTAAAATTGGTCTTCATGACAGCATTTATTGAACCCCTCACTTGTTACACTTGATAAAAATGTGCATTAAGATGCAGACTGTAGTAAGTCTTCTGCTGACTGTATCAACTCATCAGGCATGTGTAAATGATTCAAATAGTTAATAATTTCTGTTGAACACAAAATCATTATTAGACACTAGATATTTTTACCTGAAGCTGAACGTTTTCAAATTTTCTTCTTGTTTTAACCATTTCACTTGCTTCATCTGCAATTTGAAGGCAAATATTAAATAGAGCTGAATTCAAAATGAAAACAGAAATGGTTAAAAATGCACACTGTGTAGAGTTATTGACTATAGTGTTTTCATTTTAGAACATAGTTTTCTGCACTATAAATTTCAGATGTACTACATTTCCATTTCAATTCCAATTGAAAGCCATGGTTTGTGGATTGATAAATGACTGGAGAGGAACAAAGAAGGGTGCAGACAACTTGTTTGCAACCAGTTCTTCAGGATTTATGTTAAACAGTTCAGAGAGTAAAATATTTTTAATGCTCTTTCTTTTCTTGCTCTGTAAGATTCATTATTCATGAACGCATAATTCCCACTACATTCCTCAATATTCCACCAAAGATAGCAAGGACCTTCTTATCATACTTCCTCTGCAATTTTCCTATTGTCAAGACTGCCTTAGAACCCTGCTTGAATTCAGTTTTTTACGCAACGCATCCAATCCCACAACCTTAAGAATCCAATTCCTGCATCTTACAGTATTTGGAGATAGGAGACACTCACGTAGGTTTCTATAAATCCTCTCCAGTCTCTTAACAGACCA